ATTTCTACAAACTTCACTTTGCTCATCTGGATTCTATAAACTATTTCTATACTGATTTCAATTGTTATTCCTGCTGCAGAGACCTGTTGAAAGATCTTCTGGTGCAAAGCAAGACCTTAGAAGCTTCAAGTGTTGCCTGTAACCTGTAAGCGTGGTACCTTTTTTGACATCCAAATACTGAAGAAAATAGTATATATTTTGACATCTACTTAACAAAGAAACTGTAGTTATTTTACACTAATGGCTGATACATTTTATAATTTTTGTTTATATGTTAGTTACAATTGGATGTGTTTATGATACATGTATGGATATATAATATTTTGTTATTACTTGATTATTTGTTGATTTGTAGTAGTATCAATTTGACATTAATTAATATCTTTTACTTAGTTAAAAAGATGTTTCGCATGAATTTTTTGGCTTTGATAATCAATACATTTGTTAATTTTCAATCCGGAATAAATTCTTGTCGTAATTCATCATAAAGAAAGGACGAAACATTTCATCTCTAAATCTTGACACAATCAAAGATGAAAATTTTTGTTCCCAATTCACCACACCATCAAGGATGAAAATTTTCATCCCCAATTCACTACACCGTCAGGGACGAACACTTTCATCCCTAATTCACCACCATCAAGGACGATAATTTTCGTCCCCAATTCATCATACCATCAAGGACGAAACTTTTCATCTCCAATTCATCACACCATCAAGGACGAAAATTTTTGTCCACAATTCACCACACAAGGATGAAAAAAAATTGTCTACAATTGTGCTTTATTTTGGGACGAAACAATATTATTTGGGACGAATAATTATTCTTTTGTGGACAAAAAATTTCGTCACAAAATAAATCATCTTTAATGACGAAACCGTATTTCGTCCCCAATGGTGTGGCTTTGGGGATGATTCGTTTTTTCGTGGGCATTACCCTTTGGCAACGCGGCTTTGGGGACGATTTGGTCTGTCGTCTCGCATTACGTTTTAGGACAATTTTTTTCACTTTCTGTGACGAAAATTTTCGTCCTTAAATTTTAAATTTCTTATGGTGATTATATGATTGCACTAAAGAAAGAAACATAAGCATATATCATCCACATGTATATCTTTGCATATGCATGAGTAAGAAAGAATAAAGAATGCTAAGAATAAAGAGAAAGAAAGAAATAGCACTAAAGAATTTAAGAAAGAGAGTGCTAGAGAAAAGGAAAGAATAGGTTGTTGTGATGGGAGAACTCGTGAGTGATAAGAAGAAAGTCTCACATACATGTCACCTTACTTGAGTGGCATAAGAAGAAGAAAGAAATCATACGACCCGTAAGAGTGTATGTGGATGAGGGTTGTACTAAGAAGAAAGTCCTACATGCACGTCACCTTAATTGAGTGGCTTAAGAATAAGAAAGAATTTGTACAGTCCGTAAGAGTGCATGTAGATGAGGACTGTACTCACTCACATGGCCAGAGTTCCGAATTTATGCATCAACCAAGTCCGATTGGCATAAGAATAAGAATGAGAAAGAATAAGCTAGACCAAGAAGAAGAATGAGAAAGAATAAGCTAGACTAAGAATAAGAATGAGAAAACTCAAGCATACAAGAAAAGAAAAGAAAAGAAAAGAATAGATTGCGTAAGAAAAGAAAAGAAAAGAATAGAAAACAAAGAAAGAAAATACATTTCTATGCATTATTGTGAGTGCATTACATTCATGCATATTATCATGATGTTCATCATGGTGAGTAAGAATAGAAAGAACAGAAAGAAAAGAAAGAAAGAGTAGAAAGAATAGGAAGAATTAGAAAGAAAGAAAAAGAACAGAAAGAATGAAGAAGAGTAAGATTAGAGTAAGGAAAGAACCAAGAACAAGTTGCGGGGATAAGTAGTAGAGGATTTACTTACTGAGCCTTTTGTGCTCACCCCGTTATTTTTCCATGTTTTGCAGGAAATAGGTAAGCGGCGGTCGGATGGACGTCACGGAGCGGAGAGAAAAGGCACCACTGTCCCTTGTGTATAAGTCTTGTGTATACTACTTTTGTATATGTAATATTGTGTTTATAAATAAAAGAAAAAAATTTGGGCCCAACTATATTTCATATACTATGTATGTATGTGTTTGAGTATATTAGTAAGTAAAAGAAGCTGTTACACTCCAAGTCGATAAATTTTGAACGGTTTCCTGGATGACTTCGTTGGCTTGCTACTCGGATTCCCGATTTGGTTGGTACGGGAATTCTAAAATGAAATCGGCAAAAGCTTGCCCTTTGATGGTTGCTTTCGGTCTGTAATGCAAATCAAACTGACTCGATTCCATTGCCCATTTGAGTAACTTACCTGAAGCTTTTGGCTTCTGAAGAACTTGCCTGAGCAGGTAGTTGGTTAGGACATGGATTGTGTGGACATGGAAATAGGGTCGCAGATTCCTATAGGCGATCAGCAGGGCATAAGTTAATCGCTCCATTTCTGGATACCGCATCTTGGCATCTAGTAGTCGCTTTCTCGCATAATACATTGGCCATTGAACTGTGCCTTCTTCCTGAATGAGAGCTGCCTTGATCGCATGCTGAGAGACGGACAAGTACAGGAGTAGAGTTTCCTTAGGCAGAGACTTGGATAGGAGAGGTGGCTTTCCACAGTGTTCTTTTGTGCTCTGAAAAGCCTGTTCGCACTCTAGAGTCCACTCGAACTTCTTGTTGGCCCTGAGTATATTAAAAAAAATGGCAAGCAACGATTTGTTGCTCTTGATATGAAGCGACTAAGAGCCACTATTCTTCCATTTAGGCTCTGAACCTGTTTTTTGTTGGTCGGGTTTTTCATATCAAAGAGAGCCTCAGGGTTGATTTTGATTCCCATTTGGTTAACCATATACCCCAGAAACTTTCATGAGGTATTTCCGAATGAGCATTAAAAACGATTGAGCTTCATCCTGTACCTTCGGAGTACGTCGAACATCTCAGCGAGATGCGCTATGTGATCTAAAGCGACATGCGACTTGACCAGCATGTCATCAACATAAACTTCCATCGACTTTCTGATTGACCCTTGTTGACGAGAGTCCACGTCAGCCTTGACCTTTTAGGCATAACATAATTAAAGTAGTAAATTATTTATTATGATTAAGGGATATTTTTATAAAATAAAAGATGATGGTATATAATTAAAACATTTAAATATTAATTTTTTTAATTTTATATATGGCAATGGGGGAGTTGGGCTCCTCCGTCCCCCATATTATTTAAGCGGGTTAGGGATGACTGATGAGGAATCCCTACATAAGGAGTGCATTCCCCAAACCCATTCAATTCTCCTATATATATATATATATATAGCATTATGATTACGTAAATCATTACTACAAAGTATTAATGTTTAAAATAAAATTAACCATAACAAGTAATAACCAAAACAATTAAGAATAAAACTAATCTGTAAAACAATTTTTAATGTGCCATAGCATTATTTATTTCTCAAAGTCTTCTGGATTTATCTTCCTTAAGAATCATTAAGACTTCATTCATTTAAAATGTGAAACAAAAAAAAAAAAAAAAAAAGTTACAATAATTGTATTTCTCCAATAAAAATATTTTATATTTAATTTCATAATGGGGAATGGAGATCCCTTTCAACATGAGGAATTAATTTCAATTTATCACAGTAATTGCATTTCTCCAATAAAAATTAGATTTGAAATTGCATTGTCCCTGCGGTTGGATTCAGCGTCACTCGAGAAAAAGCCATAGCGCCCAAGCCCAATAACCCTAAAGTTTGCTAAATGGACTCCACCCTTGCATGGCCCACTTACAATTTCACCCCAAAAGAGTTTGCATCCTTGATTAAGCTTTTATTTGATTAATATTACACTTATAGAGCTGACATCTCTAAGTGATGTAATTATTAAATGTAGCAACACCATATTAATAATAGAATTTTATGATGAATTTAATTTTAAAGAAAAGAATATGACAATCGGTAATTGTAAATTTAACCTCTATAGTAAGTTTTTAGGGTACACTTCGCTGTGTTACATTGGATTGAATTAAATGTTTAGCGTGCAATATCAAACGAAATGCATAATTAATTATTTAAAAAATTAAAGAACTAAAAAAAAAAAAAAAATTAAGTACAAATAAATCTTTTCAATAAAAATAAATTTAATATTTAAAAAATTCGAGATTTTATTAAAAAAATGTAACCCAGCCCACTTCCTGAACAACTAGTGGCGGCTAGGGATATTTTCACTTCAAATAGCTGCCCCCTGCCCATCTCGCAAACCCGACGCCAACAAACACATCCCAGCTCCCAAGCCTCGCCGTCGCAACCCTACCTCACTTCATTCACAAGCTTGGTAAGGGAGACTAACCTTTCATCTCAATTCTCAACATGTTTCAGTTGCTTTAACTTTTTTTTTTTTCCTTCTTTATCTTGTTTTTGGATGGCTTGGACTAAATGATATGGATGTGGGCTGTATTTATTGAATTACTTTGATGGTGTTGAGTTTGATTAGCTTCTGGGTGAGTTTTTTTGTTATCCCTATCTTATCAGCTTGTTTGAACTACAGTTTGACTTTGATAATGCATAGAAAATGTTTGTAAAAAGGCTTAATTGAGTGATGAAGTGAATTTGTTGCAACAAGAAAAAAGTCTTCCAGCTAAATATAAACTTGACTAGTCAACCTTTTAAAATTTTCAACTTGAATTAACTTCCCTTATTCCTTTTATCGGAAATACTGACGCGAATTGAGCTTTAACGAGTTCTAATATGACTTGTACTTATTTTTTCTCTTCTTCACTTTATACAGGTTAAGCTAAGTGCTTGTGTGCTTTTTTCATTGCCATTTCAAGCCGCTGTAATTTGAGAAACATACGTGTAACCACTAGAGAAAGGTACTTTGGATTTTCTCTTTTTCATTTGTTCATCAGTTCTTGTTTGATTGTTTTATACATTCTAACTGGGGTTGTCGATATTTGTTAGATAGGAAAACAGCAAAGAATACGCGCATTATGTGGAAGCTAACTGGAGATGGCGAATTCCAGAATGTGTCTCTTCCTGGCACTGTACCAGGCATAGAATTTTCAGCCCCCAAAGATTTTCAGTTTTTTCAGTCTTCAGAATCTGCTTTTAATCAGATTATTGAAGCATTGAAAAATGACGAAACTCGTATAATTGGATTGTATGGAATGGGTGGAGTTGGCAAGACAACATTGGCTAAAGCGGTGGGAAATAAACTCAACAAAGAGATTTTTGATGAAGTTGTAATGGTTTTTACATCTCAAACTCCAGACTTCAGAAAAATTCATGATGAACTTGCAGACTTGTCAGATTTGAAATTCAGGGAAGAAAGTGAAGTGGGAAGAGTAAAGCAGTTATACTTGAGATTTACGAAGACCGATCAAAAGACCATCGTAATCATGGACGATGTTTGGGTAGTGTTTGATTTGAAAGAAGAAATAGGAATACCCTTTGGTTATGATCATAAGGGTTGCAAAATTCGTCAGCTGATGATTCAACTAAATGTTTGGAATGGAAGGGAAGGACTGACTTTACTCAAGAAACATGCAAGTATAGGTGATGACCACGCTGCATTGAATGATGTGGCTGTTGAAGTATTGGACATGCTATGAAGGAAAAAAAAAATTAATGATTGGGAAGTCATGTCTCGAAAACTAAAGGAGTCAAAACTTGAGAATATACCTGATGTTGCTGGAGAAAAAGGTGTATACTTGTCTTAAATTGAGTTATGATTATTTGAAGGATGAGAAAACCAAGTTACGTTTCTTGTTGTGTTCACTGTTTCCCCAAGATTATATAATTAGTTTGGAGCAATTAATTATATATGGAGTGGGGCTGGATTTTTATCAAGATGCTGAGAGAATTGAAGATGAAAGGAATTAATTGCTTTCAACACTTAATTTTCTCAAAGCTCCATGCTTCTTGTTAGATTCTGGTGGAGAAGAATTTGTGAAAATGCATGACAAAACCGAGTTATGTTTCTTGTTGTGTTCACTGCTTCCCGAAGATTATATAATTAGTTTGGAGCTTCATGCTTCTTGTTAAGTTCTGGTGGAGAAGAATTTGTGAAAATGCATGACAAAATTGAGTTATGTTTCTTGTTGTGTTCACTGTTTTCCGAAGATTATATAATTAGTTTGGAGCAATTGATTACATATGGAGTGGGGCTGGATTTTTATCAAGATGCTGAGAGAATTGAAGATGCAAAGAATGAATTGCTTTCAACACTTAATTTTCTCAAAGCTTCATGCTTCTTGTTAGATTCTTAATTTTCTCAAAGCTTCATGCTTCTTGTTAGATTCTGGTGGAGAGGAATTTGTGAAAATGCATGACATGGTTTGTCATGTTGTCTTGTGGACGGGATCCAAAGGGAATAATGTATTCATGAGTTTTCCAACAAACTAGGTGATATAAACTGCCTGAACGAATTTGAAAGGGAATAAGCTTAGAAGATTATTTTTGATATTAAATAGGATTTAAAGAGTTTTTTTTTTTAATTATAGAAGAAATATACTTAGCCATGGGCTGTGAAGACCAATTAGTGGGGGTTAGAACACTTCGTAAAAGGATGGGGGGGATAAATGATACTTCCGAATCCTAATTGGATAGGCCCATTTCGAAGCCCAAGTTAAATCCTAACTGGACTGGCCCACTCAGAAGCCCAATGTTTTTTTTTTTGTCAACATCATGATCTTATGTGTTTTAGCAAAAGTCCTCAACGTGAATGATAATTGCACGACCATATTGCTATCAATAGATATGCGATTGACCCTGAAAATATTATTATTTTATTTTTTTTTAAACATTATCAGTAGAAGTGGATGTGATCCGAGTCTGGCATGGGCAATAACACTATGGACACCGAAATATTTGCATCGAAATATTGTATCGGTCTACGTGTAAGACATCTCTAAATTTTTTAACAATTTTTTTCTAGTGAACGGTCGTCCATCAAATTTGGACGGCCGCTCACTTACATGGACGTCCGTCCATATTATATGAACGGGCGTCTCCCATAAATAAAATACAATAAATTTTTTTTTTTTTAAAGTATGGACGGGCATCCATTATGAATTGACGTCCGTCCAAAAGTAATGGACGACCGTCCATAACATATGGACGGTCGTCCATTACTTTTGGACGGGCGTCCATTGCGAATGGACGGCCGTCCATACTTAATATAAAAAAAAAAAAAAAAAAAATTCTAAACATGGATACTGCTTCTTCTTCCTTTCGGAAATGTTTACCTTCTTCGCTCTTCTTCTTCTTCAAGTCAAGCCAAAACTGATCGCTTCTCCAACCATTATTAATTTACTTTTTCAGATAACCATGATCCCTCTTTACACACTACAAACTAAACCATAAAACCAATGCCAATAACTCAACTAAAGCAAACACCACACTGAGAAGTCTATACATTCACAAAAAACAATTAAAAATAATATCCATGAGAGGGATATATCCAATTTTGCTCTAGAAAGCTTGGACACATCACTACTGAGCACATCAGAATCATGGCAGCAGATTTCTTCACACTGGTGAGCTCTGAGCTTAAACCAGATACAACTTGCAAGCCTAGCTTCCTGCACTTGGCATCATCAGGATTTTGGCTAGTACTTGAAAGATGAGCACCTTCAGTTCTTATAATTTCTTGTACAACAAAATGCTCAGACGAAAAACTAATATGAGAACCCAGGAGCTGGGGAATGAAGACGAAGAAGACGAATTTTTTTTTTTAAAAGTGTCCAAATGTTTTTTTTTTTTTTAAGGTATGGACGGGCGTCCTTCCTAATGGACGCCCGTCCAAACTTTTTTTTTTTTAAAGTATGGACGGGCGTATGGAGGCCCGTCCAAACATAAGGGACGGCCATCCAAAATTTATGGACGGTCGTCCCCAAAGTTTATAAAAACTTTTTATTGTATCTTTTTTATGGACGGGCATCCTTTAAATGGAGACGCCCGTCCCTTGTATATGGACGCCCGTCCATATAATATGGACGGGCATCCATGTGAGTGAACGGCCGTTTACTAGAAAAAAATCGTTAAAAAATTTGAGATATCTTACACGTAGACCGGTACAATATTTCGGTGTAAAAATCCCGATGTCCGTATCATTATTGCTGGCATGGGACTGGCAGAGTGGTCAAAATATCAAATGAGGAAGGTTGGGAACAATATACAGCAGTCTCCTCGTTTGCCAACAAACTAGTAGATCTTGTTACTAGGTGATATAAACTACCTGACCGAGTTTGAAAGTTTCAAATTAATTTTTTAATAGAGATTAAGGCTTCAAAAGTTGTTTCCCTAAGTTAAGTTATTAAGACATCTCCAACCACAAACACCTAATTAGTGTAAATTTTACATTAAATTGGTATAATTTTTTATGTATTTCACTATTATATCTCCGATTCATTACATTAAATATTACACAAAAAAGAATATTTTTAGAATATTCTATTGCTTTTAATAATCAACAATTAATCTATTTCATGCGTGAGTTTTTTCAAAATGAGCAATCAAGAATTATGTAAAAAAAAGCTCAACAACAAGGTCAAATATCTCAAAATAACTCTAGTTCTTTTCAATATTTTGATGATCTTAGAGGATCCCGAACTAATCTACCGGAATACTAAATTATTATTTTAGTTTATATTGTATTTTCTTTTAATTTTAGTGTTTTTAAATTAGTGTTAATTTTTATTTTGAATTATTGTTATTTAATATTTGCATTAAATAAAGTTTTGTTTTTAATTTTTCATCATTTTTTAAATTATATAATTATTATAAATATTAATATAAATAATAATCAAATTAACATATATACAAATAACAAAATAAAATGTATTTTATAGTATTTGAACAATGCCATACCAAATTAGTGTAAGTGGATAGTGTCATACCAAATTTGCGCGTGATACTGTTTACTTACACCAAATTGATGTAATGTTTGGCTTTGGATTGGAGCACACTTTTCACACCATTTTAGTGTCTCGTTTCGCCGGGTTGGTGATGCCCTAAAGGACCCATCACTATAATCACTGCAATTCCGAGCAAATCTCAAGACCCTAGAGCTGATTGGCTGTATTCATTTCAAAGACATCTCTTTCCTCGTAAGGCTAATTAAACCTGAGATTCTTTGTTTAAGAGATTCCTTTTTTGATGAATTGCCAAAAGAACTTGGGGAACTTTGTAAATTAAGATTGTTGGATTTGTGTGGTTGTGATGCGTTAAAAATAATACCTTCCAATGTGATACAAAGATACAGCTTTAAAGAATATTGGGAATTTAAAGAAGTGAGTGAAAATGGAAGTAATGCTAGCTTTTCCGAGTTGAATTCACATTCTCGGTTGACCATTCTATCTGTGGAAATGGAAGCTGAATGCCTTCTAGCAGACTGTCCTCTCTCGAAATTGGTAAAGTATGACGTGTGTGAACCCTTAAAATCATATTATGAACGATTTTCAAATACAAACGCCTTAAGAATCATGACTATTGATGAAACCTCATTGAATGTATTTAAAGTGTTGTATGATACTGTAGAATACTTGCTTTTAAAATATATTGATCCCAACCATTAATCAAGAGGGCTTCATAAAGTTGAGATGCCTTCAGCTTGAAGACTGATGATTTGAAATGTGTAATAGATATGTCATAAGAACATGTTCCAGTCAATGTAAACTATAGAAGTCGTCGTCTGTTACAGTATGGGTAGCTTATTTCCATCAATGTCGCCTCTAAGATTCAATAATCTGAAAGAAGTGGAAATCTACTCTTGCAATAAGCTACAAGAAGCATTTCAACTTGAAAGGCCCGTTCATAGAGGAAGAAAATCTTGGGCAACTCTCAAAATTAACAGAGTTAAAAGGTAGGAGACTTACCACAATTGAGGTACATATGGAAGGGGCATACCAAACATGTAAACCTCAAAAGTCTTACAAATGTTGGAAGTGATGGAATGTGAAAGCTTGACATATCTCTTCACAATGTCACTTGCTCGGAGTTTGGTGCAACCAAAATCGCTCAGTACATTCTTGTGATAGTTTGCAGCAGCTGGTGGTCATGGAAGAGGGTGACAGCGACAAGGGAGAGGAAACATTATCAAATTCCCTCATCTTCTCAAAATTAGAATCTCTTTCTGTAGATAGCTGCAAGAGATTGGAATATATTTTCCCAATCTTTATTGCAAGATGTCTTTTGTACAACTTGAAGCACTTGCAATAAGCAATGCTGCTTAGTAGCATGTCTTCTATTCAGATCATCGAAGAGGAGAAAACATAGTTGCAAGAGATTGTCCTCCCTAATATAAAACCCTTGAGAAACTAGCCAATTTCATCAGCCTCTGTCCAGAGAATTACCATTCTCTTTGAAAAAGATCACAACAAAGCAATAAATCCAATTTGGCTGCTTCTTTCATGGTTGAAGTTGTAGCCAAAGATCATGACCGAAAAGAGTTATATTTTCAACAAAAATTACATTCAATTTGAAAGATTATTAACCATTAGGGATGATTCGATGAAGGCAGACCTCTGTGTTAATTATTTGTATTCACTCTTCTTTAATTGAATTGAAAAGCTTGTTAATATTGTTTTAGGGTTGATTGAAGTGACAAATTGAATTCCTTTTAATATTGTTTTAAGGTTGATTGGAGTGGCAAATTGATTTCTTTTACATAAATGTCTCTAGTAAGTGAATATTCTCACTTTTAATTCTAATTTTACATGTTTAAAATTTTCTTTTATGAAAGTTAAAGTTGTTGATATGTTGCCGGACATTCATTTATTTATTATACAAACCAAAATTATATAATATACTTATAATTTAATTATATAGGAACCAAAATTAAAAAAGGAAATAGCAAAAAATAAGGTTATAATTGGTAACATAATACAAGTTTTAATAATTATCATTAAATAAAACTGTAAATGTAATACAATCTTGATAGTAGCCTTAATTGATTAACCTTAATTTAGAGGTTGATAATAAGGGTAAAATAAAAGGCCTGAATCTTGTTTTATATTATATTAAATAATAAAATTTTTGGATAAAAGTTGTCGGTGAAAAAAAAAAAAAAACCAGAAAGATAGATAATTTATAATTAACGAGAGAAGATTTTTTTTTTTTTTTTGAACATTTTTATCATTAATGAGGTAAGATTATATATTTTACCATTAACGAGGTGAAAAAGCCGTTTCAAAGATCTTACTTTAACACTTGGCAGATCATCTGAAAGAGCCTTTTCGTACATAAGGTTATTAAAATGACATTGACATACGGTGCATGTTAGCCATTGTACGGCCGCACAAAAATACAAAATGCACATCTGATATGCACATGAAGTCAGGTATGTTCAAAAAGTCAAGTGAAATTTGATAATGACATTTAGGTCCTGTCAGTGTAAACTTTTTTTTTAATTTTTTAATTTTTTGTAAAACTCTGAAATACCCTTTAATTTGTTAACCTTTTATTTTTTTATAATTAATGAAATTGTTCTAAATTTTTACTAGAATTGTCAATTACTAGCGATTTTCTTTTTTTATAATTCTATAATTTTTAATTTTATTTACATAATAAAACGTATAGTATAATTTACGACATCTCAATCGTTTTCAAATTTAAAATGAGTGGAACTCATTATCATTACATGTGACAGATCTTTGAAACAGCTCTTTACACCAAATTTTTGTATAGATGGATATAAAAACTAGTCAGATGTGATCATATTGGAGTCTTTTGTGAATGAATGATCGTCCAATATTTATGAATGTTCACCCATATTTAATAGATTCCCGTTCATATTATATGACGAATATCCATCTATTATAGACAGACGTCCATGTCTAAAAAAATTTAAAAGAAAAATAATAGACGCCCGTTTATCTTATATGGATATGTGTCTATTTACTATGGATGAGCGTCTATCCCATCCAAAAAATTTTAAAAAATTTTACATTCAGACATGCGACCCCTTTCATTGTTTAATTTAAAAAAAATTACATTCAATTTTTATCTCAATCAAAAAATAAATGTTTGCTATCTTCATTTAATTTTTGTCAATATTCAAAATAATTGGGTAAGCTTCATTAAATTTTTATCTATATTTAAAATAATTGGACAAATGCCATATTATTAACTCAATTAGGATTCACAATTAAGGCATTAAATAAATTTAAAATTTGTTAATATTAAAATATGACGCGTCCTCGTAATAAACAATTTAAATCAAATTTGTTTAGTTTAAACTATAAATAAACGTTCATATTATATGAATGATCGTCTATATTTATTCACGAAACATTTGTTAACGTGATGCATAATTCCCTGTAAAAATCCCTACAAAACCTTGGTCAGTAACATTTTTCTAAATAACAAAAGGAAAAGATTTTAATTTATATCGTGTCATTGATCAGTAAATTCGGCCACATTAATGTTGAAGAAATGGCGGATAAAAGGACTGCACTTAAGTTGATGAACAATCACATCACCGTCCATTTTGATCCTTGAGCCATATTTAAAAGGTCCAGTAAAATTTAATAATGACATTTAGGTCCTATCAGTTATTCAGTATAAACTTTTTTATTTATTATTATTATTATTATTTGTAGGAGTCTGAATTCTGAAATACCCTTAATTTGTTAACTTTTTATTTTCTTATAATTAATGAAATTGTTCTAAATTTTTACTAGAATTTTCAGTTAGCAGAGATTTTTTTTCATAATTCTATAATTTTTAATTTCATTTATTTAAAAAAATATTAAGGGTATTTCAGACTTTAAAAAAAATAGAAAACTTATAGGTTACAAAAACCTAAATGTTATTATCAGATTTCTACGGAACCTTATGTACTTAGCATGCCAAACACCAATCCTAACAAGTTTGCCTTAAACTTCATAATTACAAATGTACAACTAAAACAAACTTATTTATTTGAGATGTACATTGAATTTAATTTGAGTTAATATGAGATAAAGTTGGAATTAATTTGGGATTAATATGAGATAAAGTTTGAATTAATTTGACACGTTTGAATTGATTGGGGATTAACTGTGACTAATGAATTAATATTAGATTCCTATTATTTTTGGATTAGTTGAAAATTTATTTTCTTATTATGAATAATAAAGGGTAAAGATGGTATTTTTACGGACAAATTGTAGTTTGATGTCATTTGAACATGTCATTGGCCTTGAAAATTTAAATAAACAGATAACGATAACTACCATACAATGTGCATAGGTAGCACACATTAGTAATTAGTGGGGTACACTGTACCATAGGTACATGTTAGCAAACCATCCTACTTGGCAAAAACAGCACCCTGCATGCGTCTCATATTTCCATCACCAGAAACTGAAAGGTTATAGAGCGCTTCTACTTCTACTTCCTCTCTCTTTAACATACTCTCAATTTCTCTCCTCTTTCAGTCTATAATTTCCTTTTTCTTTTTTGACCCTAACTTTCGTTCTTCTCCGGAGCTCCATTTAATCAGAGGCTGTATTTCATCACTAAGACAGGTAAAATAGAAACTGTATTTTCTTTTTAGTGCATGATAAAGCAGCGGTTTCTTGTTCATTTAATCGTTTTGTTGTTGTTTTTTCTTTTTCTTTTTTACAGATTGGATTTTTTTGTGTTCGTTGATTTTGGATAGTCTTTTTATAGATTGGATGTCTTTTGTGTTCGTCGATTTTGGATAGTCTTTACGACTTTACTTAACCAACAAAGAACTTGCTCATTTGATAATTTTTTATTTTATTTTGAATGAAAAAGGGGAAAAAAAAGAGGCTTGCCTGTTCATAATTTGTTTTGTTGTGTGTTTTTTTGTTTTTATCGAAATTAGGTGTTTTTAGTGTTCATTTATGGTGGATTTTGTTTACTGACTTGCGTAAATGTCAAGTTTTTTTGCTTAAGATCATATAATATATATTTATGTTTCTTTTGAGTGGGAAAGAAAGGGTTTCCTGGGTCCATATTCACTGAAAAAGAAACCACTCTATGCACTCATTTTGCTGAGTACTTACATTATCAAAGTTTTAGAAATAATTTTTTGCATCACCTATTAACAATATTTTAAGTTTTCATGATATTTTCTATTCAGTTAAGCACTAATGTGTCTATTAACGGTTTAGGTTTTAAGATTTTAATAGAGGGTCCACTTAAACGATGGGTGTTGAGATAAATTTTTGGTCACGAATAACCTCTTCCTTTCTGAAAGGCTTGTATGTATTTGTGTATGGCTGTGGGTCTGTGTGCTTTAGGGTTTGTTCTGTGTATTGAACAAACATAGAGATAGAGCTGTGAAAAGAGTTTATTTTTGTTTCAGAGATTGCAATTTTTTTTTCCCTATGGAACGACCAAGTGCATCCCAGAGGGTGAAAAAAAGAGCATTGGAGGAAGATGATGGTATTGTAGGGAGGAAATATAAATTTAAAATTCTATTACCAAATGGGGCTAGTGTAGAATTAATTCTATGGGACCCCATCCTCCGAATGCCCTTGCAAGACTTCGTTAAGTTGGTGAAAGGTGAATATTTTCGGGCTTGGCAAGAATCAGTGAGTCAGAAAAGAACAATAAATTGGAAAAATGAAGGGCTGTACCTTGAAGATGCCTACGAGAATAAGATAAGAAATATAATGGACTTTGGGAAGTTCAAGCCACATAGGTACCATATTTTACGGCTAAATGTGAGTATTCCTAGTTTAAGTGTTTACGCTGTTTGATTATAAGAGTTTTCATGCCAGGATTCAGTGATGCTTTAATTTGTTTATTTCTTCACCAGGATGGGTCCAGTGAGATTTCCAATACTTTTGAGGTTAGTAATTCTTAATATTTCTGACTTTCTGCATATTTTTGCTTTATTGTTGGTTTTGAACATTCATTGTGGTTCTTTGTTCATCTTTTATGCGTTTAATGAAGAAATTGTATTCAGTTTTGTGATGGACTGGTTTGTTTACAGGGCATGTGGGATTTGACGCCAGATACTGATCTATTAATGGAGTTGCCAGAAGAATACACTTTTGAAACAGCTCTTGCAGATTTGATTGTATGTTGTTGGATGCAATTGAAAGAATTGAAGAAGTTTTGAGTTTTTGGCTTATCTTTTCGATTTATGTAGTCGCTTATTCTCTGCTGCTCATGTACCAGGATAATTCTTTGCAAGCCATATGGACCAACCGTGAAAATGATAGGAGATTAATTAGGTATGACATTTGTATGATGACCATTTTTTTTCTTTGCTGCATATTATATTTACTTTTATGTGTTTGTTTTATAGATGCTTGATTTTCATGCTATTTACTATTTCTATTTTTCCAATTCTTTACAACGTGAACTTCAAATCTGTTATCATCAAACTGACCCAGTGGACATGCAAATTAATTAGTTCATATGTGAATTGATGAACTCCGTTATTTTTCAGAGTACTTTTGTTTATTGTTCACTTCATTGTAAATAGAGATGGTAAGGTTTGACCTCGAAATAGATAAATATATATAAACTAGCTTTCTTTAGAAAAAAAATTATCATGTATCATAACATAAAAGTTCTAATGAAAAGAATAATACAAATGAGAGCAAGAAAAAAAGTCATCACTTTGTTTTTTAACTTCTCTATTACTTTTACTTACCCAAGCAAGACAACTTTTTTTTTTTTTTTTTTCCATTGTTTGGTTTTCATTATTATTATTTACAAAATAACCAAAATAACTTTGATCAGTTGTGTGATCATTCTCATCAAGATATTAATTCTGTCAGTTCCACATATCTCTCCCTAGATTAAATTTGCTTTCCGCTTATTCCAGCAAGAAAGGATGGAACTTGATATCATATTGTTTAAGTCTCAGTGATGTCCTCAGTTTTCAACCAATGGGACAAAGCTGATATTGTCATACAATTTTATCATGCTATAGTATTCTATCCTCTTATTGTGTTTACATTATGTTTTTTCTGAACTTTTTTCATTTATATTTTATATCAAACATGTATTTTCAAAAGCATTAGTAAATGATCTCATATCTTAAAAATTTGCTTAAAGGCCCTATTGCTCTCCATAGTAGAAACAATTTTAAGCTTACTTTATTGGTGTTAAATTGCATATATCAATGGGTTTAGTTTTCCCTAGAGTTCTACTCTTTGTGATGAAGGTCTCCTTGAGTTGAGGTGTAGGAATCATGAAATTGAGCACCTGTATATCTGCTTATAATTAGTTCTTTATTCGTTTTTCAATTGGGTTGATATATATGGTTGTTTTGGTACATATATTCAGTTCACTCAATTGTCATAAGTTGCTATAGCTTGGCTCAAATGTCCTTTAACATTTTAACGCGTGGTATGGGATGATCATTTTAATATCTTTGCAGTGTGCATATTGCGGAGGATAGGATATCAATTTTTGACACTGGCCCAGGAATGGATAGTAGTGAAGAAAACTCTATTGCTAAGTGGTGTGTTATAGATTTCAATATTTACTTACAAACTTCCCTTCTTTTTTCAGTGCTTGTGTGTGCTTGTTGGATATTTTAGAGGTTGGAACAGGGCTTAAACTTCATTTTTTGACAATAAAGGAAAGGAAAATTTGTGACTGCCACATTTTCAGCTTTGGCTTATTTATTTTACAATTTTGTTGAATATTGATGTAGTTCCTTGAAGAAGTAGGAATGAAAAAATTTCCAAGAGGTTTATTTTTTATATATGATAAGAAGAAAAAATTAGTTTGTTTGGAAATAGGAAAATAAGCTTACAGCGAGGTAGAGGAACAACTTCCTGTCTATCTCTCCACCCGAAACCAAAATTTTGGGAGAAAGGAGAAGCAAAGACTGACAAGAAAGAATAGTTGCTCAGTACAGGCTATTGGTTTCATATATGAATTTGTAGGAATATCTAACTAGGGTAGACTGCATAAGCATTCATTGATTTACTTGCATGTTGTGTTTTATATTTATGTAATTTCCAAATAATAGTTACATTCATTGTTAGATATAATTGTTCTTTCCCCATCGTGCACATTTTTAACACAGCTCTGATTTACATGAGGTTTGTTTTTTCCTAATTATCATCTTCTTTTGGCTGCCTCAGTCTTGGATTATATGTTATTCATGGTTCATATGTTTAGGGGGAAGATGGGTGCTTCACTTAACAGGACTTCTAAAGAACATGGTGTAGGAGGCAAACCTCCATACTTGAAGGTAAAGGGTAATCTTGTGAATATTTTTGTATCTTGCCTTTATATATACATATATTTAGTAGTATTGCTTTTTTTTTTATTGTAGATAAATATGCGGTCTTTTTTTCACTGTTTGTCCTAGTTTCCCATATTAACTTTGATATTAGTCATATTCTCTATTGGAAGCTGTCACTCTTTTTGTTTACAAGATTTTTTGTTTCTCTTGGTGACAATACAGCCTTTTTTTGGCATGTTTGGATATGGAGGACCTATTGCATCTATGCATCTAGGAAGGTATTCTCTCTCTTAAACTTCTTTTTTTTCCTCTCTTCCCTTCTCTCTCAATGAATGAGTTTTTTTTTTTTCTTCTCAATGAAGCAATGACTTGAGTGCATTTTTTAGTTTTTCTTAATTTTACTGCTTTCTTATAGGCGTGCTCTAGTTTCTTCAAAGACAAAAGTATCTAATAAAGTCTTTACATTGCATCTTGAGAGAGAAGCTCTACTCAAGTGCTCAGATTCTGAACTTACTTGGCGGGTAATTAAGTCACCTTAAGCAAATTATTGTCTTACTAATGGACATTTGTTTCTTTTGCACATGTTTTTCAACTCTTGACATGTCATGTTTTTATTATTATTGTTATTATAATTATTATTTTTGGTTGTATTAAGGTTGTGTTACTCCTTTATTTTTAGACTAATGGTGGCATTAGGGTTCCTTCAGAAGATGAAAGCACAGAATCACCTCATGGAAGTTTTACAAAGGTGATTTCTATTTCATTTTGTCTAGCACTTTGTATTTATTCCTTGGGGCAAGTGTTGCTTACTTTTCTGAGCTCTTCAGTTTAAAGTTAGATCATGGTCCTGTAATTGAATAAGTGATGCAGATCTTTGTATTGTTGAATCTTTATTTTTGCGACACTAAGTGAATTAGGTTGATACTTGTTATGTTTCCCTCCAGTTTTTCTGTCCAATTGTTTTGGACTGTTCTCATTTTCCTTGATACAGTTTGCGTTTCAATTTGATTGATCGACAAAATGATCAAGTCCCTAAGGATAGCATAATCTTTCCGATGAGTATTGTTAATAATCAGTCAAGCAAATATTTGTTCAATTAATATCTTGAATTATCCTTCATGCATGAAAATACTTTTGAGCTATGTTTTTTTTGATAGGAAAAACTAGTATATTGATGTGTAAAACAAGATTTATGAGTTTTTATGTAAAACTCTAACTCTTTCTTAGCTATGTTTTATCAATTTTTTGTCAAAAATTAAATATTATTGTCTTATATACCTTTATTACCTAAACTATTGTGGACCAATCTGCATTTTATGAGTTCAAATAGACTGTATAGTTGCAAAACATCTGTAGCACAAATATCCCTAATTTTTTTCTTTAATATTTTTCCTTTATAATCTGTTGTGTTGTCAGGTTTGTTTCGTTATTTGGAATACTTACTAGGACTTCGATCGGTGAAGGTTTAATGTGCTTATCATTTTGATTTATGAATTCCTTTTCTCCATTGGGAGATGGATGTCAGTGAAATATTCTGAGGCTTAGGACAATCAATGGACCTTGATTTGATGTTCAATATAAATATTGTGATATGCTAATGGAGCTTAAATTTCCAAACCTTCTAGCTTTAAATTCTATGTCCATGCAAACTTAATATATTAAGATTGGTCTTATTTGGAGTATAGCCTACATATTAACAAAACTATAGTTGACTGCAAGATATGGAAGTTGTGCTGGGTGGATAATTGAGATTATGAAATTAGTGGGAAGTGAAACCTAAATTTTGAGTTTAAGGAGATGATAGGGAATTTCTTAACATATTAACAAAACTATAGTTGACTGCAAGATATGGAAGTTGTGCTGGGTGGATAATTGAGATTATGAAATTAGTGGGAAGTGAAACCTAAATTTTGAGTTTAAGGAGATGATAGGGAATTTCTTAACATATTAACAAAACTATAGTTGACTGCAAGATATGGAAGTTGTGCTGGGTGGATAATTGAGATTATGAAATTAGTGGGAAGTGAAACCTAAATTTTGAGTTTAAGGAGATGATAGGGAATTTCTTAACATATTAACAAAACTATAGTTGACTGCAAGATATGGAAGTTGTGCTGGGTGGATAATTGAGATTATGAAATTAGTGGGAAGTGAAACCTAAATTTTGAGTTTAAGGAGATGATAGGGAATTTCTTAAGCTATATATAAGCACTAGAATGTGTTCAAAGTTTTCTTTCGCGAGGTTCTATAAGAATGTTACATAAGAGCATATAAAGCCTTTATAACTAGTTCTGTCAGTACTCTTGCAGATTTTCCTGTTTTACATCTCCTTGATTTTGCTGAATTGTTGGATAAATATTGTTCTTTTGAGTCAAGTGATTCGCTGGTGTTTAGTTATTTACTTTGAATTATGGATGTTGATAAGGCCATCTAATTTTTGTCTACATTTGGCTATTTTTAGTTAAACAAACAAATAATGAGTCAGTAATAGACATCATTGATTATAATGGTGAACTTTGAAACAAATGACAGTGATACAACGTTTGTGTATTCTTATGTCAACACTGTTAAGTTTCTATTTATTGTTCAAGTTGGTTTTTAATGGTTAGTCTTAGGTTTGAATAATTGACTTATTCGCTTTACCTTGATTAATTCATTGAAATATCTTGAAATTGGTATGGAATCTTTGAATTATTTTCTGTAGAAGTCTTATGGTTTTAGATGGGTACAACTTGTTCATTCTTTTGTAATATTAATTCAATAATATTGACATGTTTTTCTATCATATTTTCCATTTGACCATAGTGTGCTTAATTAGCTTGGCAATGTGCTATTTGATTGTTTTTTTGTCATTAAATTTTCTTTCTTCTTTGTGGGGATCAATACTGTACTTAGCTTGTATTTCTCTTTTGGAGAATATTTCAGGTGGAATTTGAGCCTAAGCTAAAAGCTTGAACAAATTTCAACTGCTGTACAGCTAAAGGACATCTACTTCCCTATTTCAGGTGTCTTTGCATTAAAAAAAAAAAAGCTTCATTCTTATCCAGTTAATTGTGGGTTCATATATGATATAAGTGTAATTAATAATATATTTACCACATTTCTAGATTTTGTATAGTCTTATAATTATTTGTATTTATCTCCTTATTGGTGATAATGTGCAAAAAGCATAAAACATCGTTAAGTCACTCGTCTCTGTCGGAGCAGTACAATTGTGGAATAAAGTAGTTGAACTGCCAATTTGTCTTGGTAGCCTAGGCCCATTCTATTTCTCTGCTTACCGAAAATTTTGCTTTTGGAGGTGGTAGAAAAGCTCATCATCATTCAAGTGTGGATTTTGGCTTGTTTGAGTATTTATCAGAAAGGAACAGGAGGATTTTTGAAAATGTTAGAGAAGAGGACATTGACATTTTATTGGATACAGTAGTGATTTTTAGTTGTAAATTGGAAGTTAATTTGGTGTCAATGTTTGGGACACTGTGTGTATTGAAAGTGAAAACACTCATGGATCATTTCCATATGCCTACCAGCCAAGGTTTTTGTTGTTATAGACTTCGGTAGAAAATATACGGCAATACATTTGCTATATAAGGCATTGCCTTTAATATAAGAATGTTTCTATTTTTCTGTTTTCCTATTGTTTCTCATATTTTACCTATCACCTCTTTCTTTTCTTTTTTGTGTAAAAAAACTACTTTTTTTTTCATTCATTATCATGACAATTTGGTGACCATACAAAATTAATTTGACTGTAGACATTATCAATATGCAAATCGTTCTAGATATTAATAATGATTATGTCTCATTATATTTTTGATGTGCAGTGGCGAGAAGTACAAAGACGGGGAAGACCACCAACACAATTGAGTTCCAGGTTTAACTTGTTATTGTATTTACGTGCTGAACTTCTTCTTAATACAAGTGATGGTATAATACACCAAAGTACTTGGGATTTTAAGCTTTTTACAAGTCATGAGAAGGAATTACAGAAGTCATAGAGAATTGGAAGCAGCTTTGTCTCCATTTATGTTATAATAGAATTTTTTTATGTTTCTATAAAAAAAAATAAAAAAAAAGAAATAACAAAAAAAGAATTTCGTCTTTGCAGGTTAATGGTGTTGACTTAGCTGAAATTGCAGGTGGAGGTTGCATAAACAAACATGCATTATGCAATGGTCCTGAGTGTTTTACAGCTTCACTTTTCCCTTAAACTTGGTTGTCTACAGCCAAAAGTCCTGGGACCAATTCAGTCTTTTGTCATGATTTTCAATGGCATATCAATTGTCAACAATATGCAATCTTGGTAGATTTTAAATCTTAAGAATTGGTATTTGTCAGGTTCATGGACATCTCAAGAAGCAAATGCACGCTTAAAATGTGTTTATTTTCCAGTACGGAGGTATGTGCATACAAAGCACAAATTTTTTCTGCATGCTAGATAATTTCTGAAATTGTTTAATACAGGGGGGAGAGAGCATTGAAAGAATTATAGAGAAGTTAAATTCTAAAGGATGTGGAGTTCCTGAAAAAATATGAAACTTTCAGTCGTGTTGCTATTCGTCGTCTTGGTCGTTCTTCCAGATGCCGCTGGGTAAGTTCTAAATCCTATGAATTCAAAGAAGTGATGAGCTAAGTAGGAAAATAAAATCGTTTTAATCACATAATGACTCACCTCAAATTTCCCTATTGGACATACATCCACAATGTGGTCAATGTTTAGGAGAAGCTAGAGTTCCTTGGTTTTTGTGTGTTCTTGTTATAAAAAGTTAATCTGCTAAGTAAGAGCCCATTTAGGATTTAAAAGTGCACTTGCACTTCATGTGGATCAAACATAACCATAACCAATCATAATGACAGACATGATTATTAGGGTAGGAGGATTCAAACACAAGAGTACTTGGTCAACTTGGTTCTGATTCTTGCTTATTTACAACTTTAAGAAAAAAAAACTATAGGTAAGAGCTATACTATAGTACTAAAGCTCTACTACGCCACCCACATGCACTTATGTGTGGACCAACTAAGTACAATACAATCATAATCATAAACACGACTAACCATAATTAATTAATAGGATGATCCAAAGCAAGATCATTTTAACTTCACTCTAATGCCATTTAAGTTATGTGTGACCTTAAGCTTATGAAAGGTCCTATTAATGCCTAAGTTAAAACGGGACCTAAAGCTTATGTAAGGGTCCAATAATATTTTCAAGCTCTACATCTAACCATATTATGACATAAAAATATTTAAGTTGTAAATTTAAGGTGAAATTTGCAAGCTTTACTAATGCTTTCATTCTTTATATATCTAGTTATGCTTGGAAAAAATTGTTGTATGTATCATCGCCACTTAATTAATTCCCAAGGTAATTTTTCCAGTTTCTGATTTACACCAGGCAGTGCTTCCTTATGGATTTGAGGCAGAAAAAGGGGATAAGGCTCACCTACTGAAGAGATGTTGCTCAAGAGCAAAAGCTTTGGTAGGGTAATTGAAATTTTTTTAAGTCACTACTATCCATGCTTTCCACCACTGGGATGTGATGTTTTCCTCTCATTAAGACATGTTTACAAACGTTTGGTTGCAGATACTGATGCTGGTTTTAATCCGACACCTTCTAAGGTAAGGAATGTATTGAAATTCATGTTTTGTACATATCATGCTGAAACGTCTTTTTCACAGTTTTGTTTGACTGTGAGTTGCTAAGGCCTCATTACCAAAGTACTTATATATTGGAGTAGATTAGTGTATCTTTAAAAGCTAATGTATAATTTTCTTTTAAATATTAATTTGGAAATAAAAAACATTTAATACTAATTGTTTCTACTCTCAGCATATGCCTACAATGTTCAAATCTCTCTGACCAAGATTTTCAGAGATGGTTATAACATTGCAACAAACTAAAATAATTCTAAATTCAGTTTGTGGATGTGGTGAAGTAATTGTATAATCTTTTGTGTTAATTTTTTTTTTTTTTTGGTCAAATGACATGATTTAACAGAATGATTAGCACACAGAATCTGTTTACCATAGCTTTGAAGATTTTGGTGTTAATACTTGTAAGGAAGACAAAGGTAAATCTTATTTGCAAATTGTAAATATGGGGCTAGTTTTAATCATTTATTTGAATTGTTACACTATCTTCCAATGTATAATTTCCAAATTTGCAGATATCAATGTTGAAATTCATAGAGCTGGAAAACTATTAACTCCTTGCAACTGGAAAAGGAATATCAAGACTGGCTTTTGCAGATGCATGATCAATATGATAAAGAAAATAACTTTGGAGCAGATCAAGCAATTTTTATCCTTAGCCCCAAAAACAAAAAGTCATGGGCATTTCATCTGATGGTAGGCTTTGAGATAAGGAATTTAACTTGCATAACATTATTTCCATTTTGCATAGTTTGCTTTTCATATACTTCGTTCATTTTTTGGGTCTCTTTTTTCTTTTGTTGCTGATTTGTTTGTTACCTAGTTTCTATCTGATGACATATCATATATAATCAACTATAGTTGCAAGGGTGCACCAAGTACTAAAGAGGAAGGGTTTAACGTGGAAAAGAGGTCAAAGAGTTAAGGTTTTCAAGGGAGCATGTGCTGGGTTCATACAAACAATATCTATGCAACAATAGAATATTTTTAATTGAAGGTCTTCAAGGGATGCGCGGTAGGCAATGGTGTTAAGACTTTAGACTTGTTTTGCTTTTCATTTTGTAATAGAAAAAATGTATATTGGCATGTTTACATAATTTAATCTTCTTGCAATTTGATAAATTTCACCCTCCCCTTTGTACATTTCTAATAGGTGATGCTCGAATTATATGCAGGTATGCATCTTGTGTACTTGTGGCTCTAAAAGTTCTATTTTAGTGGATAAATATAATCTTTGTACTTTTTGTTTCATAAACATGTGATGTCTAATATTTTCTGGTCTGAAAGGCCAAAGGTCTCATGGATAAGGAAGGATCTGTTCTCGTGGAGAACAATGGGACTGTTAGCTGGATATTTTGGCTCCTTATCTTACCTATTGGCATAATTGATTCTGGAAAGGTTTTCCATTTAGTTTCAATTTTTCTTTATTGCTGCGTACATTTCTATTTCTTTGATCTTTGCAAATTTTACTGAGAGTAAGTATTATTTATTTTTTTGTCATTGGCATTAGTGTGTATGTATTGACAATATTGATTGAACTCAACTAGCGAAGCAACGTCAGAAGGCTCTGTTTGATTGACTTGTTGAACGCAACACAATGTCAAGAGTTAGATGTTGATGGGGTCTGTATTCATCAAACTTTTCTTATTTTGGTTTATCAAGGATGAGAACAAGATTAAGTTATCTGGAAATCATAAATATAGACTGTCACATCTTGATATATGTAAAAATATTCTCCATTTCTTTTGGCACTTAGCTTGAGGAACAAAAATTCAATCCCTTTTTTCTCTTCCATCAAGATATTTAATCACTACTAATTAGTTTCTGTTTCAGGCATTACCTTTTAGTGCTAAAGCTGGAGAAGTACCTCCTAGAGAAATTGTGGCTGTTGTTCGGGTGCCAATGTTGTTTCTTCTAGTGTTTCAAAGAAGTTGGACCAAAAGCACATTTAAGAATAATTAGAGATGATCATGGAAGTCAGATCAAGGTAAAGGGAAATCTTCAAAAGGGTATTAACATCACACAGCTCGTGTACCTCCTGCTTCTAGGAAAGGGTATCAAGGTTATATATATTTGAATTCGGGTGCAGTTACCAAACTTTTTTCAGAATGCTGGGATGTATAGGTTTTCATTCACCTTGTAAGTGATACAAAAGATTCTTTTCTCTTTTTGTTGTGCATTATATATCATATCTTTCTTGTGTTTTATGATTATATAACCGATGTGATGGAATTTTGTGCTTTAGCCTCAGTCAAGTGTAAGAGTTGTGAGAGACAGGTGGTAGTTAAGGGATTTCTAAGGTTGGAAATTGGAGACTGTTGAGTTGTAAACAGAGCCCACAGTTCTGTGTTAGGTAAGAAAACTTTTAACGAACAACTTATAATTTTTCTGTTCGAAAACTCATAGTAAAATCCTTCCCTAGTCTTAAGCCAGAGTGCAAAATAAGCGATGATAAGTAACCAATAAGTTATCACAAGATGCTTGTGTATTGCTAAGAATGAATTGCACAATTTCCCACCTAGGTGTATTGTAGACAAACGAAAACAATTTTATTGGCTCATCCTAGAATTAAGTGTAATATTCTTATCATCCACTCAATCTCAATACACTCTTAAAAGGATTAATGACTAGTAAAGCATCATCTTGCATCTTTAACTGCATTACACATGGCAGACTTTACAGCTTAAATATTATTGTTGGGCCTAAACCTATAAGCTTAAACTTTTGGTTTAAGTAGTTACTTAATAATTCTATTTACCTTTCACATCTTGTATCATGCATTATTTTTCCCTAAGCTAGCATTTCTAATTAGACTTAATAACCTTTTATACTCCCTCTTTTCTCATAAAATGACCACTTTCCACAGAGTTGGTTCATGCTTTCCACCTTTATCCGTTGCGTGCTATGACATCTATGATAATCGGATTCCATTTACATCTATTACGGGGGTGATAGTCAAACTTAATACAACCACAAGTGTGAATATACATGTAGACGACTTCAAGATGGACCTTTCAGCTGATAAATTGACACTTAATATTGAGGTATGAGTTCACACATGAATATCTTTTACGTGCCCTTTTAAAGAAGTGCTTATTTAAATAGTGTTAATATGTTTTTGGTGTGCATTAGCTCCTTGTTTAAGTTTTCCTAGTTCTACAGGATATTCTGATTGAAAGCTATGAGTTGGACAAGATCCAGCCACGGTATGAGGCTACCTTGGTGATATCTCCACAAGATGAATTGGCATCAGTGTCAATTCCATGTCAAGGTATTTCAGTGATCTTAATAGATTTACATCTAGAACCTGTTTCAAACTTCTTTCTAACATCATCTTGCCATTTTACTCATATTTTTATATATGATTTATATATATGTATCAGTTATTCCTGGATCTTTAAAGCATGTTACTATCCAATCACCAAATTTTGGGAACAATTTGCTTCCAGGCTCTGTGGTTAAGCAGCTTAAATTTGAGGTATTTTGGGGATGTTATAATTTTCATGGCTAGACTTATTTTGGAAAATTTGTAATGTCTTATGATTGTAATCAAGTACATTGTAGATTTAATGACGCAAACTGGAGTGGTTGACAAATCATTAGTCTCAAAGATTAATCTTATAAAGGAGGGGCTTAGTTGAACTCAGTTTAAATTTAATTCTTATATATTGACATGGTATATATTGTACTGGGAACACAATTGATGATACTGATAATTATATGTTATTTGACAACCTAAGCATATCAACTACATCAATGGTATTTGTTATATTCTTTAATATTGCATATGGTATTTCACAATGTATTTTCATTTAACTCGTGGTACTTCGTGTATACTGTTAATCTTTTTTTTAGTGCAGAAACTTGATATTATTAATTTTCTTTTAGCATAATTAGAGATTTAGAACACTTAATGGAATATTGACGTACTTCATCATAACAATTAAAGAAAGATTTTTTTGGCTCAACCTGTAACAATCAAACAAATGTATTATCTTTTAAGTTAGATAATTGGAAACTTGTATAGCTTTTGAGAGTGGTTTCAGGCATACTTGCTAACCTATTTAACCATTCATTTCTTCCAGATGTTTGATGCATATAATAATCACGTATTCAAAGGTTTGGAAGTTGAATTGAACTTGGATGGATTTCGATTTGAAGACCAATTGGGCATAAAGCGTAAGGTCAGAATATTTCCTATGTTAGGATTGTATTTTTGACAAATAATTCATTCATCTGCTACACATTGGTTCTTTAATGATTGCTAACACAGTATGGGAGTTCTAATTTTGCTAATACAGTATGTCCCAACTCCCACTTCCCATTCACATTAGTGCATTTGGGACTGTATTGTGGGCTGATTAAGTTCACAACGAGTCTGTAACTTGGCCAAGCACTTTTTAATGCTGTGCAATATAATGTAACAAAGACACCCTAAAGGCCCATTTGAAAGTATGTATGTCTAAATTAGTAATGTCCAAAAGTTCAAAGAGTTAATCAAATTCTTGTGCCCTTATACGACAATATGATGTGCTTCAGCTTGTTCTTATTATTTATTTTACATCTTATGCATGATAAGCTAATACTATAATTGTGCTTTTAGGTTCTATTGCATTTGGAGTTTACAATTTTTGTCTGTTGCATTATCTGAATGTCCTGAAAAAGTTTGTAAACATAGGTGGACGATTATGGATGTGTTGACCTTAGTGGCCTCTTGAAAGTAACAGCTGGTTATGGAAAAATTGGTATGTCTCTTTATCTAACTGCATTTTTGTTTTGGATATTTACTTGCAAGTATGAAAAATAAAATGATATTATTTTATTACTGAAGCCTAATATTAGTCCAATGAAACAGTAACATATTAAAAGCTTAGTGGTATCTAGTACTGGTTATCTCATATTTTGGTTGTGTACTGTAATTTCAAAGATGCAGACATTGCTTGATGGAAAATTCTTAGTCACTCATTACTTTGTAGCTTTTGGTTTTATTTGTCTAGCTAAAAAGGAAAAACATTTGACTTTTTAATTTAACCATCTCTAGGAACCATCTTCACCAAAATTTTTAGATTTTGCTTCTTGTGGATAATTTGATTGATCATGAGAAANGATTGCTAATACAGTATGGGAGTTCTAATTTTGCTAATACAGTATGTCCCAACTCCCACTTCCCATTCACATTAGTGCATTTGGGACTGTATTGTAGGCCGATTAAGTTCACAACGAGTCTGTAACTTGGCCAAGCACTTTTTAATGCTGTGCAATATAATGTAACAAAGACACCCTAAAGGCCCATTTGAAAGTATGTATGTCTAAATTATTAATGTCCAAAAGTTCAAAGAGTTAATCAAATTCTTGTGCCCTTATATGACAATATGATGTGCTTCAGCCTGTTCTTATTATTTATTTGACATCTTATGCATGATAAGCTAATACTGTAATTGTGCTTTTAGGTTCTATTGCATTTGGAGTTTACCATTTTTGTCTTTTACATTATCTGAATGTCCTGAAAAAGTTTGTAAACATAGGTGGACGATTATGGATGTGTTGACCTTAGTGGCCTGTTGAAAGTAACAGCTGGTTATGGAAAAAGTGGTATGTGTCTTTATCTAACTGCAGTTTTGTTTTGGATATTTACTTGCAAGTACGAAAAAGAAAATGATATTATTTTATTACTGAAGCCTAATATTAGTCCAATGAAACAGTAACATATTAAAAGCTTAGTGGTATCTAGTACTGGTTATCTCATATTTTGGTTGTGTACTGTAATTTCACAGATGCAGACATTGGTTGATGGAAAATTCTTAGTCACTCATTACTTTGTAGCTTTTGGTTTTATTTGTCTAGCTAAAAAGGAAAAACATTTGACTTTTTAATTTAACCATCTCTAGGAACCATCTTCACCAAATTTTTTAGATTTTGCTTCTTGTGGATAATTTGATTGATCATGAGAAAATGTTACAATCGTGAATTGTATCAAAGGAAATTTTTTAGAATGCTGAGAACATAATCATGAACAGTTGAATGTTACAATCGTTAATTGTATCAATGGATTTAGGTTTGTTCAGTGATTGCATTCTAACATTTCTTGCCTTGCAGTATCAATTTCTATTTTATCTGATAATGAAGTCATTTTCAATCAAGAGTTTCGAACTCAGAAAAGGGAACTGAGAATTGTATCTGGGGTTAGTGTGCTTTACTTTTGCCATACCTTCGCTTAATTATTGGAAATTTAAATGTCATTTTTACTGATAGTGTATAGAATCAGGTGCCTGAGTGTTGTCCTGTTGGTTCTCAACTTGAAAATATAGTTTTTGAGGTTGTTGATTCCAAGGGTGATGTTGATGCAACTATCCATGATAATGAGAAAGGTGGCCAATCCCATACACTCACTATAAGGTCAAAATCTATTGGCACAGAAGATTCAATTCGGTATGCTTTCAGGCATGGGCGCTGCACTGTTCCTGCTATTCCCCTTCCTCAGTGTGAGGGTTGCTTTTGCTTTGTAGCTGTGCATTCTCGTTACACAGAGCTACATCTAAGCATCAAGGTTGCAACAAATTTTATGTTAGCGATTAAATACTATATAGTTTTATCTATTTATGAATGGGTTAGAAAATAAAAAACTAAAGGAATCGGGACATAGTAAGAGTTCTGAAATCCACCAAAAACACTTAGCAAACTTCTTTAATCAAATGACTATTGTGTCCACTGTTGGGTGTCCATAATCTTAAGAACTTAGCTTTAGTATTAACACTTCATGATTATCATTTTTCAGCCACCAATACTACATTGTTAACCATTGGTTTGCATGTGCAGGTTCCTCTTTTGCAAAGTCCAAAAACGGAGTACAGTGAGATACCCTCATATTCTGATGGGAAGTTACTACTTCTCGAGGGCTCAACTCCCCTCAAGCAGGGAGGAGACCTTGCGGTATCCATCATTAAGATTGAGAAGGTATTGTGTCAAATTCCATCTCTACATTTTTTCTAAGATGTAAATGCATTTTTGATGCTAGAATAGATGCTTCATTGTCTTTGATTTATATGTTCCAGGTAGAGATTCTTTTCACTTGTTCTCAATGCCTCAGTCAAAGAAGACTTGAATTTTCCAAATTTCAAAAAGAACTTTCTTACTGTTTTGAGTTTCAGTGTCCCTATTAGTGTTAAACATTACTACTTAGCTGGGTTGTTGTTATGTGCCGAATGTGGTGATGTTGCTTACTAATTGATAATTGGTTTTAGTCTGAGTTTTGTTGTTTGGACTACTTTTCTTGCAGGAACTTCAGCATGTAATTACAAATATCTTATCCAAAAAAATTGTAATTACAAATATGATTCTAATTTTTAAATGCTTTTTTGATGATGAAATATTTCTAGTGTACATATTTCTATTATGTAAATACATTTTTGATGCTGCAATAGGTGCTTCATTGCCTTTGATTTAGTTGTTCCAGCTAGAGATTCTTTTCACTTGTTTTTTATGCCTCGGTCAAAGAAGACTTTGAATTTTTTCATATTTCATTCATGTAAAAGAACTTTTCCTACTGTTTTTGTTTTTCATTGTCCCCATTAGTGTTCAACATTACTGCTTAGCTTGGTTGTTGTCATGTGCCAAATTTTTGTTGTTTGGACTGCTTTTGTTGCAGGAACTTGAGAATGAAATTTGTAAATATGGTTCGCGTATCAAGAATCATGAAATGGCATTGAAAATTGTTGATGATCAAACGGCAGAAATCAAGCAAGTCTTGTCTCAATTGCAAGGTTTTGACTGACATAGTTTTCTTTCTCATTCATTAAAAATAATATGAAAATGAATCCTACTCAGTATGCATGATTGAGGTACAAGATATGGTGTAGAATGATAAATTTCACAAATTATTTGTCCATTTTAAGAAACTTTAGTGACCCAAGAACTTTAATGTAACACATGCTCCTATTATTGTGTATCTTTTTTAAGTTCAAGATCCAAAATGGTAATTTGCTCAATTTGGTGATAAGATTACACAATTTTAGGCAAAGTTCTGATCATTTAAAGATGTCACTACTAATTTGGTTCATTTGTCATATAAATCTATTGGAATCAAGTGAATCTTCCTGTTTTCAGATTTTCAACATTTTGTCTATTCTATTTATTCGTAGCTGTTAAAATAGTTGTTTGTCATGATTAATAGGTACATATTTACCTTGTTTACATATGTGTTCAAGCTGCTTAAGTATCGGACATTGTGCGTTTCGGTTCATGTAATGAGAGTTAAACCTTTAGGACATATGTAGACACCCCAATTGAGGATCACAAGTTCCTTTGTTATTTTGAGGACCTGAAGGCACATTTTGTCATTCTCTGCCATGCCACAAGAGCAGGTGGTCATTACAACATTGATGAAATAGTAATATTTGTGTGAGAAAAGTTAAGTTCTATTTCATGACTCATTTGTGATGAGGATGCAAAAACGTTTTGATATGAATTCTGTGGCAATTAAACTCTGTACAACTTGCAATTTGCAGAATATTTGTGGTACTGCAAAAAGTTGTTGGCATGATACTAAGCTATTTTGGAGTTCTATGTTGAAATTATTTAACTCTGTTCCACATGGTATAAACTTCATTGTAGGAGAAAAGAATAATGGTCTAATTTTAATGTTCATGTTCATGTAAAATCAAATAGTTAGAAATTTGGTTTTATTTTCTACTTGCTATTTAAATTAAAGCACTTCCTTCAATGTATTGATAAATGTGGCTCCAACAGCAAATGAGGTGGAAAACTGAAATTGGATTTGTTGTTGATTTGTTTACCAGCTTCAACAGAACGTCAAATTTTGACTGATCCATACTCCTTGCTTACAAAAGAGGAAATAACAAGACGGATTGAAAGCAGGGGTCAATCTGCCGCTGCTGTTCTCTATTGTGTTTGTAAGAAGTTTCCACTCCATGAATCAAGGACTGATTTCATTGAAGATATTGTTGGCCTTGTAGCACTTATTGGAAGAGCATGGACCAGCAAGCTTAGCAGGTCACCAATCTGTTATTTTCTTCAAATTTCTTAACTGAAATGATTACTTGTCCATTAGTCTTCTGTGGTTTATAATCTCTGGTTTATCAATCTTTAGGATGTTAGCGGAGTACTTGGGTGAAGATCAAATGCTTGCTTTGGTCTGTAGATCCTTCAGAGCAGCATGTGCTCTTGAGGAGTATGAAAAAAATGGAGAAATTAATTATACACTTGGACTACATGGAAAAGCAGCTGAACGTGGAAAGTCTATAGTTGGCCGATTTCTTGTTATATGCCTTGAGGATATGAGGTGCTATATTCAGTGTTCTGGTTGCAATTTAAAAACGGGAGAATGACAATTTGCCACCGAGGTTTGGCACAAGTAAGTTTTCCCACCTGAAAGGTTTGAAAAAAACAATTTCCCATCCATAGTTAAGATCTATCCGTTAACTTTAACCTAGGTGCTATAAATTGTTTTTTTTCAAACCTTTCGGGTGGGAAAACTTACTTACGGCCAAACCTTGGGTGGGAAATTGTCTTCTCCCTTTAAAAACTTTTATAGTGACTGTTAATATGAATTTCCTTCCAAAGCTATCAGAAATATTTATGAAAAAAAAATGTTGTATGCCTTGAAACTCCTTTATATTATGTCTCAATTTTCAGACATGATTATTTGTATTGCAGGCCCTACACAGGGGCGTTGGATGGCAGTGACCCTCAGAGGTGGCTAGCCTTGCCAGAGCCTATCTTACCATGTGGGGACACCCCACCAGGTTTTATGGGGTATGCAGTTAATATGGTTGACCTAGATGAGCATCATGTTTGCACGAGGACAGATGCAGGTGATGGTCTTAGGGAGACTTTGCTCTACCAACTCTTTGGTGAGCTTCAAGTTTACAGAACCCGTGAAGACATGATAGAGGCTCGCGCTTGTATAAAGCATGGTGCTATATCTCTAGATGGTGGGATTTTGAAAGAGAATGGACTTATCTGTCTTGGGCATTGGTATGTATTGTTTCTCTCTTCCTCTCAATACTTTCATTAAAATTTTGTAGAATTTTTTCCCTCATTACCGAGAGTAGGTGCCTAGTTACAATTGCTACTTTAAGCTAACAGGTACAACCACTAAACATTATCTTGTTTGATCATGTCTTTTCAGGAATCCAACAATATGTTTTCCAGTTGTTGGGCAGGTAGATATGCTTCCATCTTCAGAAATTACGGAAAAATGGAACCAAATTGAAGAGAAGAAATTGAAGTTAGGTAAGCTCATGTGCTTAAAAGAGAAACACACTACAGCTCTAAAGAAAACTTTGAAGAAGTTTAATAAGAAAAAAGAGAAGTATAAGGAACATATGTTTGAAATCAGTCCAACATTGAGAGAGTATTACTTGGAATATGGAAATCCAGAGGAAGAATAGTTGAGAAATCTCTCTTAGATGATCTAGTTCATCCGTTTTACTGCTGTATAGTTGGAAAATGTATATGTTTGTGGATATCCATAGTACCATAGCATAGGAGGGAAAATTTACAATTGTGAATGCCATAGAACTGATAGTGATAGATTAACTCAGAGGAATTAAAGAGTTTATGCCATAGAAATCATAGATCAACTCCAATCCCTTTAAAGAGTTTATGCCATAGAAATGATAGATTATAGCAAAGTGAATCACTTGGGAAAGTGGTAGGCAGTTTGCCAATCAATACATCTTTTTCTTCTGTATTTAACCTTAATTATCTCTTTCCTCTAATGCTTCTAATTTAAACACAGTATTTTGAAGGTTGAATGTAACAGTGGTGTAGATTTTGTTAACTGTTTGTTTTGATATGACTTGTATCTGGGATTCTTCTGGATATTGCTGGCTTAAACTTGGCCTATCAAACGTTGGTGAGTAATCAGAGGGCAGTGGATTCTGGAAATACATTTGCATTTTGATACTGATCTTCTGCATTTGTAGTTCTAAAATGCTTTATCATAGTGTCAATTTTTATTTTTAGTATAATTGCTGTTTTGTGTTAACTGGTCTAGAATTTATTTAGGAAGTAATTTTGCTGTCGTGATTATAATCAATGGTAAAAAGAGAGTAATGTGGGTTAGTGCCTATTTCAAGTAATTTAGAATTTCGACATTATTTAATAAAAAAGTTTTACCAATATTATGTCTACTATTTACTTCAAAGAAAGTTTTCCAATGCACTATTTGCTGAGTGTAAATTATGGCATTCCATTACAAAACATTCCTAAAAATGGTAATTTCATCTAGCGCAATTATTATTATTATTTTTTTCTGGTTCGGACTTAGAAATACATAAATTTTTTAACTATTTAATATAAAGAAATCATATTTAGCCTACACCTTCTGTTCATTAACCATTTAACCTCTATTTCTGTATTTTGTTTGTTTTGAAGAATATAACCTTAAATAAATAATTATTAAAGCCAATATTGATTTTAAGTAGGCATGGAATTGTTATAATAATATAATTATTAAAAAATAAGTTCATTTCTTGCGTAAACCATAACCCTATTTCAGTATAAAAGCCTTTTTTGTATCTCAAAGATGTCACAAATTCCTAACCATTTAGAATTTTAATAAAAATAAAAATAAAAATAAAAATAAAAATAAATCTAAGATACCTTGAAGTTTGTTGTCATCTATTTTTACCATATTGTGACTTTTAAAATTTGAGAAATATAATTTCATCAGAAAAAACTTCAAGTGCTTCGTTTACATAAGATTGTAAATTATGTCATTCCAATTTAGAAACAAAGTAATAATTTTTTTTTTTTATTATTAATCAAGAGAACTCATAAAACTTACAAAAATAAAAAAAATCTGTAAGATAAACTCCTTCCCATAGTTTGATATAGATATACTATATCATATACACTAAAGAAAATAAGAAAAAAAAGCTAAGAAATTTTAGTTTGCCTTTGGAAGCTAATTATACAAGTCTAAATAGATATTTAGAACCTGTTTGACTGAGCTTTTGAAAATTAGCTTATAAACAGTTAGTACTTATAAAGTAATTTCTCACATGTATAAACCCCACGATCTTCAGACAGCATCTCTAAGGTCTAGTAACTCGTGTGGTATCAAAGCCAAACCACTCATACATTCCAATTTCTGTGTGTGCAGAGGATTACCTCCCCTCGGATATTGGCTTCTTTAAGTTACTTATTGGATCTAATTTCTGCGTGTGCGGAGGACTACCTCCCCTCGGATATTGGCTCTTTTAAGTTTTGGTTATGTTTTATATTTTCTGTTTTATGTGTTCATATTATTTTATGTTCCATGTATGAGTCTTGTGCTATCCTTACCATTTGAGGTGATATTACACATTCAAGATGTTGAACTTACGTACATGAAATCCTCTTCAGCTTTATCTACGTTTACTACTTCCATAAATACTAGCTTATCTAGATCTTGTTCTAAAGCAGATAGTTTGTATGAAATATCTTATATCCCAGAAAATCAAAAAATCCAAGGCTCCATTTGGTTCATTATTCTGATAGTTTTTAGAATAATCTTTTGAAAAAAGTTAAATTTGGTGGGTATTACAATTTAGGATTTGGAAATTAACAAAAATATCCCCTATGTTTGTTTATTTACTAAACACCCATATAATAAAATATTAAAAGTTAACAAAAACACCCCTAACCCATCCATTAAATACGGACAGCCGACCACCACCGCCGGAGGGTGGCCGGAGTATTTTTGTAATTTCTAAAAAAAAAATTTAGGGGTGTTTAGTTAAATTAACAAATTTAGGAGGTTTAAAAGAAATTGAAAAATATAGAATAATATTTTGGGAATAATGACATTTTACTATTTAACTTTTTTGGGAATACTAATAATAGTATTCCCAAAACTGAACCAAACGAAGCCCAAGATACTATCCCTCCCTTTGTAAATCCTTACACAACATTTTCTTCGTCTTATTTGTCTAAAACCTTTAAGACTCTTATAAGATCTTCTAGAAAGCCAGTCAAAGAGTATGTCTAGACTAGTACTTTTGACAAGTGTCAAATTCCAGCCACAACCCAAGAACAATATGTTACTTTGGAAATCCCTCAAGAATCCATTACTCAATGGATCCGTGAAGGATACTCTCATGTACACTTTGTCACTATTCGGCTAGCTTTATCTTACCATGGCAGAAAAGGACTCCCAGTCTCTGTCCGAATTGCTTTATTGGACTGTAGATTTGTCCAATATCAACATGCTTGTATAGGGACGGCACAGACAACTTTGAATGCTAGGACAGTTATATGACACTGTTTCCTAATTTCAACATGTCTCTATCTGATGTTCATTACTCCAAAGCTTTTAAAGTTCAATTATAGATCGTTGGTGCAGATTTAAATCTAGGAAGTATTGCAGCTACTTTGCATTATTAGATCGTTTGGCGAATCCAAGGCCATGCTCTTGATCTCACTATCCCTACGACTACTGATGCACTGCTCCTTACTGTTAACTCTCAAAATACTCCTCACTGCATCAATATTCCCAAACAAATTTTCAGAGATGATTTGATTAAATTGTTACCCGACTCTTGGGTAACGAGTTACGAGTCTCTTAATAAAAAAGAAACTCCGGTGGTTTCTACAGAATCTGCCATGTATAATAATAGTGACAGAACAACAACTATCAGATTTAAGTCTCTAGCAACTCCAAGTGCTTCACCTTTGAGTTTTCAATAAACTCAATTCATGATCATTTCAGTCCTACCAGCTACAGTAGTACAAGAACTTGGACTTTCCATTCATTCATTTCAACAATCTAATGCTCCTACCTATCATCAATTTGATCCAGGCATTGGTTGCACCCCATTTGACCTTGACTGCCAATGTTCGGCCTACCGTGATGATCCTATTTGGGAAATAAATGAGCATTATCTTTCTAGACGAAATTATTCCAAACATAAAAAATAGACAGCTCGGTGCAGTAAAAAATATCTTCATTCCAGATTTGAAGACCATGATCCTGAAGTTGGTCTTCTTGGTCAACCACTTGGTAAATTTGACTATTATGTCAAATATTCTCCACTAGCCAGGAAAGATTCACCATCCATTAATCCCTCATGGGAAATTCCTCCGACAACTCAACCCAAATCACCTTTAAAACTATCCATGTCACATACCTATAGTAAAAGTTCAGATCTTCCCCACTAAATACTCCAATCCCATTTCAGTCATAGCATTTTTTGATACTGGTGCTACTTTTACTATTATCAACCCTAAGATCCTCCCAGCCTCTCAGTGGAAACCTCATCAAGAAATTTCCTACATTGCTAATAGTGACACTTTCACTACTCATCTGATCAGCAAACCCATTAAAATCCAAATTTTCTCACGATGTTTCACTTTTCATAAAGTTCTTGGTTCCGATCTCCTTGGCAAAGATATGGTTCTAGGTTTTGATATTTATTCTAAACTCAATAAACTTAGAATCCTCCCTGATGGTGTTCGGTACAAGATGTTTTTCCAATCCTGGACCACTCAGCCTAATTTATTCCAGATTGAAGGCAATCCTATTAAGCAGATCAAGACCCAGCTTATTTCTAGCTCTTGTGCAGATTCCCATGCATATTTTCTCACTAAATGTGCTCATCCATTATGGAAGAATTCGGATTTCTTTATCTATCTTCCATTTATCAAGAGCGAAGATATCAATCCCACTAAAACTAGTCATTCAGGCATGTCACCAGAACATTTCAGCCTAGCCCAACAAGAATGTACTCAGCTTTTATCTCAAGGATTGATCAAACCCACAGATTCTTAATGGGCATGTGAAGCTTTTTATGTCAATAAACGTGCAGAACAGGCCAGAGGAAAACTTAGACTTGTTATCAATTATCAGCCATTGAATTTCTTTCTTCGTAATGATAAATTTCCTCTGCCTTCCAGACAAGTTCTCTTTGCAAATCTCCACAATGCAAAGATGTTTTCCAAATTTGAGCTCAAAGCTGAATTTTGGCAACTTGGAATTCATTCTAATGATCGTCATAAGACTGCTTTCTGCATTCCCAACTAACACTACTAGTGGACAGTCATGCCTTTTGGATTTAAGGTCGCTCCTTCTCTGTTTTAAAAAGCCATGACGAAGATTTTTGCTCCCCTTCTACATACATGTCTCATTTATATCGATGATATCCTTCTCTTTTCCAAAGATGAGGAATCTCATATACGTCTTCTTTGTGACTTTGCTGATATCATCCACACTTATGGTATTATGCTCTCTGAGAAGAAAATGTAGTTAGGGCAAACAAAGATTGATTTTCTTGGTATGGTGATTGCTAACGGCAAGCATGATCTTCAGCCTCATATTGCTAATGAACTGCAAAAATTCCCAGATGTTCTCACAACCAAGAAAGAAATACAACAATTCTTGGGAATTGCCAATTACATGCGCAGTTTCATTCCCAACATTTCTCGTTTCACTACTCCACTTTCCCAGATGCTTAAGAAGAATCCTCTAGAGTGTTCTGAAAAGCAAACAAATGTAGTCAAGAGTCTTAAACGTACATCATTCCATACACAGCCGTTGAAGATTCCTTCTTTTGGGAAACAAATTCTTCAGACGGATGCTAGTGACACTCATTGGGGTGTAGTGCTTTTTGAACAAGATGAGGACAAGGTACGACATTTGTGCAGATACCAGAGTGGACAATTCAAACCATTCCAGCAGCATTATCATTATACTTTCAAGGAATTATTAGCAGTAAAAAATGCTATTGAAAGGTTTGAATTCCACCTTGTTGGACATCATTTCTTTGTTGAAACGGATATGAAGTCTTTTGATCAAATGCTTCGATTCAACGAGAAAAAGGTTCTGCATCAACAATTACTTCGATGGGCAGAATGGTTCAGCAAATATTCCTTCACCGTCTAGCACATCAAAGGTCACACCAACACCATTGCAAATTATTTATCCAGATCTAAAACTAAACAAGTTGGTTTCATGAACTTTAT